TGCTTACAGTTTTCTTCGATTGCAGGGGCGTGGTGCATTATGAGTTCTTGCCACAGGGTAGAACGGTCAATAAGGAATATTACCTGCAAGTTATGCGCAATTTGCACCAAGCAATCCGCCAGAAACGCCCGGATTTGTGGAAGAACAAAAATTGGCTTTTGCACCATGATAACGCCCCTGCTCACACATCGTTGCTTGTGCGCGAATTTTTGGCCAAAAACAACACACTAATGATGCCGCAGCCACCGTATTCTCCCTGGCCCCCTGTGACTTTTTCTTGTTCCCGAAACTGAAGAGGCACGTGAAAGGACGACGCTACGCTACGATTGAGGAGATAAAGACGGCATCGAAGGAGGAGCTGAACAAGATCACAAAAAATGATTTTTTGAANCTTCGAGGATTGGAAAAAACGTTGGCACAAGTGTATAATATCTGATGGGGATTACTTTGAAGGAGACAAAATAGATATTCATGAATAAATAAATAATTTTTGAAAAAACACAAAATTCGCGATACTTTTTGAACAGACCTCGTATATAGCGTACTTCCACCCATTTTTCGATTTATCTCTCGGAATGTTGTATTTCGGAATATGACTTTATTATATATATATATAGAATACATAAATTATATATACATATTATATTATATATATATATAGAATACATATATATATATATATATATATATGAATTTAGCAAAAAAATCTTATTATTTGGTTGACAAAAATTTATAAAAAAAAGGTAAATAGTAAGGTAAAGGTAAATAGGTATTAAAAAAATCCAAATTTTTTTTTTATTTATAAATGTAATATCAATTGTCATTGTAAAGTACTAAATTTTTTTAATTTTTATCTATGAAGCTTTTCTCTATCTTTAATAGTTTAGATGATAATTTAGACGATATTCATCGTGTACACGCGCGTATGTGTAGGATGTAGATAAGGTACATTTTTTTTAAATGTGTGTAAGCGCTTTGTCCTTTGATAAATTCTGCTAATAATTTGAACCACGCATTAGTACAACGGAGTAGTTGAGTTTCTATCGTCAAAATGAATATTCATTTCTTTACGCTCGCTCTTCTCCATTTTGCAGGTAACAATTAATTATTTTGCAATTGATTGCGTTAATTTCATAATTGTTATTTAAACTAATGAAACGTTTAGTAGCGCATTTATGTCAGGGATTGCCAATAAATTCGGTAAAAAAAATCCTCGGTGGTTCAGACGTGAATATTAAATTCATTCCTTATATGGTAAGTAAATTATTATATTAAAAATTGATCTTTAGTAATAGTTTCTTTTATACATAAGGTTATCAACGAAGCAATTTTTTTATATTTAGTTGTCAGTTATGCTGAATGGTGAATACATATGTTGTGCTGCTATAATCGATAAACATTATGCTGTAACAGCAGCTCACTGCGTGAGAGCGTAAGTGGGAAAAACCAAAATAAATTTACAGTAATTAATTATATTATTGTTGTTCACTAGATGCATTAATATGTTATATCGTAGAGCTAAGCATCCTACTAAGGAAATTAGTGTACGCAGTGGATCTTCTTTTTTACATAAAGGTGGTACCATCCACGAAGTAACTCGTGCTTTTGTACATAAAGACTACAACAATATAACAAATGACTATGACATCGCCGTGATTAAAATAACACCTCCATTTGACAATTCCACAAAACCAGTTTATCTAGTACAAAATGATGCTGAAGATACTTATACGAAATGGGGTTTAGTTTGCGGTTGGGGATATTATATAGTAAGAATATTATTATCACAATATATTATTAATTCAATGTCAGCAATGAAATAACTGGCATTATTTGAAATTTATGCCACAATGTCTGTACAGAAGAAATTATATTTTTGTAAAATATGCAGAAAATAAACGATTACATTTATCCTGCTCTTACGGAAGTGCCTCATTGCGTCATGATACCACAAATACAAAAAGAGCAATGTTATAAAGATTACAAACTCAGGTATGAGTTAACATCTCGAATGACGTGTTATGGATTTCAGGAGGGTATGGATGATACTTGTAAGGTAAAGTGTAAATACATAACAACTTCATTTAAAAAAAGAAAACAGTATTTTACAATATTGTTTTTAATACATGTTATTATTTATACAAACAGGGCGATTCTGGTGCAGCATTAATTAACAAAGACAATATTCTGCTTGGTGTAACTTCATGGGGAGATGGTTGTGGAGAACCGTATTCACCCGGTGTGTACACTGATGCCATATTTCTTCAAAATTGGATTAGAGGAAAAATCGAAAAATGTACGTAAGAATTTATTGTTGTAAGTATACATACACAGATAGAAAATTATATAAAAATATAATTATATTAATTATATATGTATACAGAAAATATCTGACAATTCGAGGCATAACGCTCATGTGCAGGTAGAATGGGTCCAACAGGAAAGTCATGCACTGAGAAGAAATTTACTGAAGAAAAGAACATTTTGTTAAATTTTAATAAACCGTTTGTTTGCATGCAATTGTGAACGCATTTTCTTTTCAATAAGCAATTTATTTGTTTAACAATATCTTGAGCGCATATTTTTCAATAAGCAATTTACTTACTTGTTTAACACTTTGTAATCCACGAAGACGCTTGACTAATGTGTTTGAACTTATCGAAGGCATAATAGCCGTGCTTATTTGATTTTTCTTTCTTCTTATATAAATGTTGATATCTAAAATCATATATATACGCAGATAGCGTGTGTCACCCATTTTCTAAGAGGGGAGTTTGCACATCCTGGATAATAATTAATAGTGATTGACAGTGATTCATTATGATAAACGTGTGTATTAATAAAAGTTGCATATTCCGAATGTGTGTGAGGAAATATGAACAAATGAGCAAGTGAGTCGCAGGCACCTCACATAAGCGCGTCAGACTGCAAGTTGCGCCACTTCTACCTACTTCCTCTACCCGACTCTTAATAAGCTATTTCTGTTAATAATTTTAAAAAATAAGCTTCGGAAAAAGTTTTGCTATATAAAAAGTTGCCTCGTAATTTAGTTAGGATTACGTAGCTTTAATGATAAAAGGTTGTTTTGAATCACTCTGTACATATATTTGTTATTTTATTATACACGTCATGCGTAAAAGAGGAACGATATAAAAATTTATAGACTATCTTTGAGACCAGCTCGTCGGGAAATATTCCTAACTATTGTTCAGTGAGTAAAATTTTTAAACACTTTTATTTGATAAATCCGAACATGTGCAGTTTATTATTTACAATATGTAAGTAGCTTATAAGTTATCAGTCTTGCGGCTCTCGGATAGAAGTAATTACACGCTTCTATATGTACACGTGACACAGATAAGTCTCATTACAGTGATAATATTTTTAGTTATCATCTTCGACGAGTACAACTCAAGTAGTCTCGGACATGTTCCGATCTGAAGCAAAAGTATCAATAAAAATTCGGTTCGCTAATATTAAATTTAATCATCTTTCACGTTCTCTCAATACACCTGTTTACTAACAAAGAGAGATCCGGGTGTATTCCTCGTGGATTTTGGAAGGCTCGATATTATATTTATTTATATATATATATATTAATACATAGAGTTTGACACTATAAAAATAATATGTAACATTTAAATGTCGATGGGCTGTAGAATTGACGTTACAAGATTTTAAAATTTGAAATGACCTCACGCATGAGCGATATTACAGCGAATATCCGAGGCTTACAAGGTCAATTTGGCGCATAGTATCAGCTCGAGCTTTCGCGTATTCGAGACCAACGGGTGATATTTTTCAGTGTTATCTTTTCTCTAATATTAATTTTTTCTTGCATTCTTCGTAAATTCTTTCGAAACTAATTTTTCAATGACTGTACAAGACAAAAGTATTTTTTTTAATTTAATTGTCTCTTAACAATTTTGGTAAATGTTTGGAAATATTACTCCACCGAAAACTGCGTTTTTTAAATAATAATCAATAAAACAAGTTATAAAAAGATATATAATTATATAATCGATTTTGAGATTGTCCTAAATTGCTTAAATTATTGTAAGCTTTTCAATAATCACTTATAATAATCGATCCTGTTCTTATAAAACGTTGTACGATTTCTTCAAGAGTATTAAAATCTCGACATTGTATGGATTCAGCAAAGAATTTTTTGGTATTGTAAATTCAAAACCACTAAAAAACCATGTTCAATTATCAAACCTCTTGAATTTTCTTATGCTAAACTTTGCTTTATCTATCTCTATAACAATGTCTAGCCCACCTATTATCATTAAAGTATTTTTTTCTGACCAATAGATCATCGTATCTCTCTTATAAACTTTAATCAGTCAATAATCGCTTGTCATCCTACGTTGATTTCATTCTCAAAACAATTTGATGTGGTGATAGCAACAAATGTTACACACAATAAATCGACACTATGCAATTAGAAACAAATGCGCATTACAGAACGATATTCCCGTACGCCATGATTGCTAGAAGTTACAACGAGAATCAATGTATTTCTTCCACGTTTTTCTTTTCTCATTTTTGGCATCCTCATATTCAATTTTCACTTGATATATGTTCATTATAAGTATTGCACATAACTTTAGTAGGTATGATATTGTAAAAAATCACTGATTATTATTATATTATAGAAAAATATATCTAATGCCTGTCGAAGAGTAACGTGACAATTTGTACAGTTATCATTCACTTCCATCGCCAAAAGTTAAATGAATGAAACATACAGAGAACGCATTAAATAAACAGAGCACTGCTGATCTTTAGAATCGATTGCATATGTTTATAAATATAAAAAACTTTCTGGCGAAGTTGTAACTATCATAAAATTGATCTTTAACATTTTAAATATACCTTAACGTTTTTCGATTTTTACATAAAAGACCTCATATCCTTTTCTTAAAACTTATACAATTATCTTTTTATAACCTATTTTATTGATTACTACAAAAAACACAGTTTTCGGTGGAGTAGTACTTCCAAACATTTACCACAATTTTTTTTACCACAATTTTTTAATATAATTATGGTATAATTATATAAGAAATTTTTTTTCTTTTAATTTAATTGTTACTTTGAATGTTATTTTTACTTGTAGCTTCATTATTATATAACAAACTACAGTTTATATTTAATAACATATATTTAAGATCTAATACAATGTATTAACTTTCTAACAATTAATGTTTTTATCCATTTAGTCTTTATACGTATATACAATTTTTTAGTAAATTGATTCATAATTATATGAAGAATATGTTTATCATATAAATTCATTAGATGTATTAAGAACGCAAGTATATATTAAGGGAAAATGTAACTTTAAAACAAACGTTCGTTGGTTTCGAATATATGAAAGAGAAACTTATCATCTCGAGAGCTAGCATTTAGGCACTCTCAAACTGACTCTTCAGGCCTCGGACATTTGCTATAATATCACTCACGCATGAGATCATTCCACACTTTGAAACCTTATAACGTCAACTCTACAGCCCATTGACACTTAAATATTTCATATTAATTTTATATCAAACTCTATATATAAACATCACAATATGGAACTTTTCAAAATTCGCAAAGGACACCCGGATTTCCCTCTGTAAGTGCTTTTAATCCTAGATGATTGTCGAAACGAATAGAAGTATAATTTGAAACGATGAATATGTGTTTCTCTTAGAAATCACGATCAACTGATTTCAAATGGACAAAAGGTTTTCAACACATTCAATAGATTGGACATCTGAAACTATTCCGCTGAAAAGGCATAACGTGAAAAGTTTTACTCATCATCTATTGCTCTGAGAAATATCGATAGAAAAATAGGCTATAGAAATTCAATAAGTGGAAAAAGCAGGGCTGTTTTGCAATATCATTATCGAAGTCCTACAAAAAATGTACAATGTCGCATACGAATATCGTTAATTAGAACCTTGTTGTCGCGATGTTTCTTGCGGGATGTAGTTTATGCCTTGAAGTATTATCATATTTCTCGCGAAAACAGTATCTTTAATTGTCCAATGTCATTCTAGAAAGCAAAAGTCAGGTCTCTGATTATTTGAACATTGTAATATTTGAATAAGTATTTGAATATTGTCGTCGTTTAACAGCATAGGATAGAGGTAAATGTATATTATATCTGACATAATTGAACATTTAAACATAGTATATCTGTTAAAAATATGCATTCGAAACGTTGAGAGCTAAAAGATACACAGATGGACTTTGAAAAAGTTCGAGAAGAACGTAAAAACGATTTCGAAGGGTTGTCCCAATATTGTGTTCCAATTATGAAAATTTGCCAGAGTTGTGAGATGAGAAAACGAAGAATCGATGACGAGAAACTTGACACCAGATAATGTCACATTCAAAGAGCTCGTGCGTTTGGATTTAAGCGTTTGTGTTATATTTCGCTTCACTACTACTCTAAAAGTAAACTTTTATAACGCTGTCACTATTTTGCGAATATTTGGAAAAAATTGACAAATTCCATACTAATTGACGTGTACAAACCAATTCTACGGACGTTAAATAATTTTTCCGATCATAATCAAATGTTAATTTATACCGGGAAAAACTATTTATGAAACCCACATTTTGAAAATTCGTTTTCTTTCTTGTTTTCACTTATTAAAAGTCAATAAAAAATTCGACTTTTTAAGAATGAGTTATAATTGATACTATATATGCGTTTGAATGTCTGTTTGAATATATAATCGAGCTATTAATGAGTATTATTTATTTAAATATATATTAATTTGAACGAATATTGAGCAATATTAAGCAATATCGGAAAGACCATACGCAAGTTGCAATTATATATACATACTTTGTATCGGTTATTGCAGATGAAATCGGTCGTTTGTCATAATTCAAATTTCCCGGTTGGGTAGTTCAGCTTTCTTTACGCAGCTGTCATTGAATGTGTGATATTTGAAAAGTATACATCTCACACGTGTAACCTTAATTTCATATATATATTGTTTATATCGTTGAAAAACGTTGTTTCTTCGACATCGAAAGTAAAGAAATGCAGGTAAATATTCTTGTACGAATTCAAACTTGCTATAGCGCGGCCGAGGTGACGCGAAACGTAAGCACAGTTTTTGGGGAAGGTTCTGTAAGTGATCGAACCACCAGATGTTAGTCCGAAGATTACCGTTTGTTTGTAATGCGTGTGGATAGTTTTTTAAGTGAAAAAATACTCCAAATAGAATGTAAAAGTGCGTTCGACAAATTTCTTGCATCTCGCTCTTCCAATTTCTACGTGAAAGGCATTGACGGGCTTGTATCACGTTGGGGGAAGTGTATCGAGGTGGATGGAGACTATTTCGATTGACAAGATGTATATGAGATGTGTCAAATAAAAGTTTAAATTGAAAATTCCAAAATGGCCATTTCATCTGCAACAACCTAATAATTCTGTACATATACAAATATATAGATACATATTTACAATATAATTATCTACCATTTGCGAGAACTAAAAGCTGAAAAGTATACATACTAGTGTTAGACTCTAACAGTTTAATATTTTCAAAATATATATCGATCGTTTTCTCGGCATACTACTTATATTCTAACAACAAGTTAATATCGACGTTAAAAAAGCGCTTAACAGTAAACATCTGTGGTATTTTATAGAAGACGTTGCGTCCTTTAACATTTCCTGCAAATAGTTTCACAAATTAAGTAAAAGTTTACGTTCCCAAATTCGATTAAACGCTAGGCTAATGATTATAAATATTTGCTTCTCGACTAGAAATCCAACTTAACACTCGTACATTCGAGTTATCAGTGCAGTAGAACAAAAAGTGCTAAATTTCTTTCCGTACTTAAAAAGGAGATAATTACACGAATGTACCATACGAACCACGTGTTGATATATACACACTTCACACTCCTGCTGATGAATTCCGAAATAAAATCTGACTCACCACTTAAATTTATATGAATTTTATCCTAATTAGAACGCGCCATCATGCTCGAAGCTATTTGGCATTTCGTTTCTTCGCGGTTCCTGCGATACATTCGTGAAACTTTTCTTCCCCTGCTTATACTGAGTTAAACATTCACAACATTTCCTTCTCGACGCTTTAAATTCTTTTTCAAGTGTCACTTGATTTTTGTCAAAAAATCAATATCGAGGACAGAAAACGACCTGTATCCTTTTTTATGTAAAATCATATATTTTTCTTACATAAATAGATTCTCCTCATCAATTTATGAAAAAAAGTATTGAGACGAAGTCATCGAAAAATAGATATTTCGTCTTCTATGTTAGAACATGTCAAAATAAAATAAGAAAATCTCAACATGTATCTACTTTTTAATGAATTCCTCTTAATACTTTATACGGATCAGGGAACACTTGTTTATGCGCGAAAGGATATGTTATGAAAGTTGATCCAAACGAAAAGAAAAAAAGAAAGGGGAAAACTTTTTTTCTGCAGTCTTAGGGATTCAATAACAAACCCTGTTTTCCATGTAAATCGATGTAGCGAACGTTAAAATACTAAGAAAGTTTTATTCACTACTTTCTATAATATTGAAGAAAAAATTCCATGACATCTCAAACGATACATATAAGTTACCCTTTGTTCACGAAATAGTACACACCGAAGGAACTACAGGAAAAACCTGTTACGCATTGAGCACCAGTTAGAGAATAAGAGCTCTGCCCATAATTGGTATTATTATCATAATTCCATTATTTTTCGCTGATAATGTCCACGCCGGATTCAGTTTGTGATTTGCGATAAAATTAATCACAATAATTTCAACGGCAGTTACTCAAATAACACAAGAGGCACTAAGCACATTCAAATAAGGATATCTTTCGAGTGTTTGTGTTGCATGAAAAGCGAGTTACATACGCTGACGTTACAAAGCAGTTGTTCAACATGTTGTTTCATACGTCAAGGCAAGTTGCGTTGTATATCTGCAGGATAATTGTAACCATTTGCTTATACAGAAGCCTCGTAATTAGGTTATACATACATTCTTGCTTCGTTATACGTAAAATAATGACGCACTCGATCGCAAATCTATATTTTAACAGTAAAGATCATATCGAGGATATTGGAAAAGGTAGAAAGAAAAAAGTAGAGAAAGATAGAAAGAAGAAGAGGAGAAGAAAGAAGAATTATAGAATTATAGAATTATACAACTATTACCAATAATAATTACCACCGAAACAAAGAGATCAGCGAGATCTAACAGATTCAAGGACGAAAGCTTGTTCTCGACGGGCATCATCAGGTTCGGAGGATCGAAAATCCTAGGAAGAGAAGAGGAAGAAGAAGGAACAGGATGTTCGGTAAGTTTTCGCGCCGGTGGACACGTGGCTGGTATAAATCTGGAAGCGGACGAATGACCTCGACGATATAATTGTACGACTCCGCGGATGCCAGGACCTAGAACAACAATTATTCACCAATAGAATGTACGATAGATATAAAATCTCGAATAAACTATAATTATATTAATAATTATAATAAACTCTCTATCTCTAACCACTATTGAAAGAATGTGTAAGAAACTTTAACGTCTTCCTTTGCAGCAAAAATTCACGAATATCAAATAATTCGGATTTATATTGATTTATTAACTTTTAAAGATCAGATGGTTTTTATGATGCTTTTAGCAATTGTCAATGTAGAAGATGCAAATGCATTTTACGATTATATATATATTGGAAAAAATATAATAAATTAATATAAAAATAGTTTTTCCGGTTTCTATAAAAGTTAAAGACACTATCATTCTTTTGTAGTGGAAGTAATAAATCTTTTAAAATATTAAGCAATATGGTAACGTCGTGATGTCAAGTAAATAAAATATTTTATAAAGATAAAATAATATACCAAGTAAATAAAAATTTCCAAATATGTATTCAAGCAATATTTATCCAAAACAAAGATGAAATCAATTAAAATCATCAACTGCAAATTTATAGCGGTTGTCAGCTACTTAAGGCCTTTAGGGAGAATTCACACTTTAACAGAAAACAGGACAACAACAGCCAATCAAAACTCGCGCTGGTAGTCGACAGTTTTTGCTTTATCTTCTTATTGTCAGCGCAAGTTTTGATTGGTTGCTGCTTTTCTATTTTTCGCTTTTCTGTCAAAGTGTAAATTCTCCCTTAATCCGGGAATAGTCACTTGGGGTCTTTTGTAGACCCCAACGGTCACAAAATAAAGCTCACATGGGTCTTTTTTACTGAACGGGAACCAATAATTACCCAACATCTTAAAAAGAATCGCTACAATCGAAATCTTGCATCAACATTATATGAGAAAGTAACTTACATTTTTTAATATAATTTTAATTTCTAAAATATTTTAATCAAAAGTGTGATTGACGTGAACACTTTAGATAAGCTATTGATAGTGCCGTGACATTTTCATCACATACATAGTCTCACTATCCTGTCATCTTTCCAAGTATTTCGCATCGCGACACTACTAAGCCGCTTTATCGATTTCTGGCAGACGGCACAGCAGACGACATTGTTAATTCTTACAAAATAAAGATAATAACACAGAGGAAAAAAAAAGGTAAAAAAAAGAGTAAGGAAGGGAGAAGCGGAGTGTGAATGAGAGGAGGAGAGAGCAAGTGCGAGGACGAAAGAAAGCGAAGTCGTAATGTATGTATCAATTTCAGGACGCGTTGATAAGAATAATCATATTTAACCCTCTGATGCACTTTGAGCATTAAAGCAATCTCTGCAATGTCATTCATTTCCTTATCATACATATGCAATTTTGATAATTTCACATTATCGCGGGTTATATTTTGGCGTTTATCGGATTGCACATTACACAAATAAGTCATGTGTTTCCAAAATATATATATAGCAAAAAAGGTCAAATTAATATTTGTACCGCAGCATCTATTATAGAACTTGGGTTAACGCATTCGTATCAGAATTTCGCAAATTCGGGTCTGTCAAACAAATGTCAATTCGAGCGTGAGTCTATGTTTATATCTTGAGTCTGTTTGTTTCGATATTTGAATCGATATTTGAATCAGGTCAAAGTCGAGAACACTTTCCTTTATTTGAAGGATTGATTTCGTTTGTTGCACTTATAACAGCATGACAGTGTACTTGGCAGTTCGTCAAGAACCGCTTTGATTCCTTTGAAAAATATTCTGAAAACATCACCAATTATTACTAATCTTTAAGTAATGATACATGAGACGATCTATGTATCTTATAAGTAGCTACAGGTTTTGTATATCTGAATTGAAATTTTCCTTTTATAATCTTAACATCTTAATATTTAAAATTTAATAATGCTTACTTTGAATCTCTAAATAATCAAAGCAAAATTTTTTAATTATATTTAATTACACCCATATTTCTAGCATCTAAATTCCATTTGAGTGAATTTCAATTTTTACCTTTTAAAGTTTTTCTTTTGAATTTGTAAATAAAATATTGTCCTCTTACTATTTTAGAACAAAGCACAGGTGCACAATTTCCACAAAATATAACCTGACGTAAAAAATTATGACCTTCTAAGATCAATAAGCGTGTTGGTAAGTAAAGGTCGAAAGTAGGAGTCAAATTTCGCCTGAGTTAATTCGCATTCTCTATTAAACGACAAGTACATAAACAATGTTTTATACTGTGTATATTGTTATAGAAAAAAAGAGGAAGAACTAACGAGGTGAACGAATATGTACGTAAATAGACATATGTGAAGCTTCTCCAGAAAAGCGATTAAAAGTTATCACTTCTGCGATACTGCGTGGACCTGACTCCCCTTCATTCATTTGTGTGATTTCAGTATTATTTATATAACATTTATCATCGGAAGATTAACATTTCGTCCGCACATTTGTCCATTTAATATGAATGTCTCGAATCCGTAACAGACCTACTTTAATCACGTCAATTTTCAATAAGAAACGGACATTTTAGGAGGTAAACATAGAGAGTACTTCCGAAAAATCTAAGTTTGTTGGAAATTAAACGCAGAATAATGTTTCATTTTCTACTTTGCAACCTCTGAATCGTCAGTTGATAAAAAATGTCTCGCTTACAATAGCTAATAACTTAAGGAAGAAAATTCCAAAATCCCGTCTCTCTAGTCGCATCTTGCATATTATACCGCGTTCGATTCATAACGTGACAAGATTGTTCTTTTATATATTGCGACAAAACAAATATATGACATAATCAGGTGGAGACGGAGAACGAGGAGACTGGAAAGAAGGCAAAAACGAGATACAGCCGCGAGCGAGCCCGCGAAAGAGCGAATAAGATCGATGTATTTCGTCATACGTGGTAACAACCTTTAGTTAAAGCAATTAAAGCTGACCGCGACTTCTCAATCTTCTTCAATCGTTATCATCTCTCGCACAACGACGGAGATGACGGCAGCGACAGCCTGTTATTTATAAAAAGAAAGGCTGTGCAACGTGTCACGCAAGACAGGGAAAAAACTGAAAATCGAAAATTGCAAACGATAGAAAGTCCTTTCGTGAACATGTCGAGTGATTTCGAAATACTGAAACAATAGCGAAATTGAACGTTTAATATGGATTTTTGGTCAAGGCAGCTCATTGTACTTTCCAGACTTAATAATAATAAGCATCGACAATACTGTCCGTGTGCGAAATAAGATTGTTATATACATAAATGACATAAATACCCGGGAAAAAAGTGATTATATATGGTTATATATAATAAAATAAAATCATATATGAATTTTGCCTATATATGTGGTTATATGTATGTCCATACGAAGAAAACGGTGTTATGTCATTTAATGAAATACCAATATCATGTGCAGCCAGAAGCATTTACTTGTATTTGCATATAATTTGTAAACAACAGCATTTTTTCGTTGTAGACATGTATGATTATATATTTTTCGTTGTGGACATGTATGATCATATATAGTGATATATATAGTTTATATATAGTCGATTATATATAGTTGTATATGGGCAAATTTCATATCTTTTTTTCCCGGGTATCTAAAAAGAATCTACTCAGTGAGAAATAATAGGTTGGAAAGACGACTATTGGAGGTCTACATCGTCTATGGTTAATATCAATGTGTTTTTTCAACCATTTTTCAACTAATCGATGATTCTTTTTCCATCGAATGTAGGGATATATTTGCTGGAAATTTGTAAAAGTTATTCTACATTAGTTACAAGTCGATCACAAGTAGATGCAACGCTTGATGCGACAACTGATCAGAAAATCGATGATACTATTAACGTTTCTGATTAGCTATCGTGATAAGCGTTGCATTTGCTTGCGATCGACCTGCAATTCATATAAAATGACCTTAACTTGAATCATGATTGACTGTTATCATTTCTTGTTCACATGATCCAAATCGTTCTCAATAAGTATGTAATAGGTTTGGTGCGTAATTTTATTTGATCAAAACTGATATTTATGTTCATAATTTTATAAAAGTTGTGTACTTTTGTACGAGTTATGCATTACATAATTTTTTGTTTGTAACTGTTGAAGATAAAATTTGAACATTTTATGCAATATAAAATATTTATTTCTTAGAGTCCTTCCACACACACACACACACATATATACAGGGTGTCCTATTTTAAATAATATATTTTAATGTCTCTTCTATAACTCGTCATAAACAAAAATTTTTCAGTTAAAAATTACATGGTTTGGAGGCGGACACATGATGAAATTACAGATTTGACCTTGTGTAACTTTTTCAAGGCCAGTTCAAAGTCACTTAAGCATTAAAAAAAAATCCACCATTTTTTATTTCATATTCTTGTAGCTGACTTCAAGATTTTTTCAAAACACTATAATAAAGTATTTTTTATTAAGTACTTTCTGAGTTACGAGACTTATGAGACTCGAGAAATGTGAAATTTAAAAGTAAACAAATAAGATTAAATCGATCTATCTTAAGCAATTAAATTTGAGACTACATATATTGAGAATGATGATTTTGGTTGACATTAACGTACTGTCGTCAGGTTCAGGTCGAGGTCTTCTTGAATTTTTTAAATACATTTTTTATTCTACTATTGTTCTACTTTCAGTGTTACCTAGGAATAACAGTATGGACATAATAGTTTTTTGTTCCTTTTGAGATGCATCAAAAGTTGTTTGCAATTAAGGGGAGAAAATATGATAAGAACATTTTAATAAAGATCATCGTGATTTTTTTGAGAGGATCCAACAAATTCGTTTGTAACTTATATACAACGTCAAGATTTTTCAGTGATTTGTATTAATATTATCTCATATGTTTGCTAAATTTTAAATTTTTTACTTTACTTGTTATTAATTTATTCATATATTATTTGCATATTTTTTCATTTGTCGATTGTCGACCTGTTTGTTACTTTTCAGTCTATTCAGTCTGTTTTCGTCGTTTACTTTATTCGTCTGATCGGTATGCCTGATCACAACGTGAATGAAATTGTTTACATACTTGTAGTGTTTGATGAGTGTAGAGGTAACTTTCGCATACAATTGGCACCGAAAATAACTATAATTTTAGTAACATTAACTATTTTTTTTCTCAGTGCATCGGTAAGTATCTATTTTCCTTCTCGTATCGTTTATTAATGCACTATTTAAAGTTCTTAAAATGCACTTGAAACGCAATACAAATTCAACTTCTCTTGTTTAATTGTAGAAATATTGTATTTACAAATTCCATCGTAAAAAGGAAGATTTGGTGCAGTTTGGACTGTGATATTCATGCGGCACATAAACCACGTTCCCTCCTTTCTTCCCAGCATGAAAATGAAAGAACACATAAGTGCGCTCAAGTTCAAAGCTAATTTTATTTTCATATTTATGATCATTCTTACGCTAAGATGTGAAGACAAAAAATGAGCTTACCGTATAGATTACGTTATCCCCGTGTTCGTCCGCTGCATTTTATTGTCGTCCTCCGCATTTTTTTTCACGCGTCGCGTTCTTCGTTCCCAATTAGATCATTAAGCGCAACTTCTTTCTTCTCGTCTCGCATCCATCTTTTCTGTTTCCTCTGACACATGTGCCGCGAGACACCTACGTGATCCCGCATGATCTACATCTCGGCGATTGAAGGCCGAAAAAGCAAATAGAAGGATTCGTGTACAGTTTCGTACGTCGTATTGACGAGGAGACAACCTCCCCGACGGATTCACCAATAGGGAGCGTCGTTTGCCAGATGATGCCAGGATGCAAACTCGCTCCATGTGCGCATGTTCATCTTGGTGGCTTCCGTGATGCGTTGAACGCCATCTTTCGTCCCGTCCTTGCTTAAGAGGCCATTGCATGTTGTCGACGTACTGTCGAATCGTTTGACTGATATTCGAGGCTGAAACGCAAGTACAATGTGTCCTTACTTCTTCGATATTATTGTTGCAATAGGATTTTGCTTCCTTTTATTTAACTAAAACCGCAGCTGAGTTATTTTATTACCCACTTGTAGATTTACTTTTTTCCCTTGTCTTTGAAGTTTTAATTAAAGATTTTCCTGACTTAACAAGGGCCATTAACATTTACAACAATTTTATCTAATAATTTTATCTTCCAGGAGGTAAATCCCCCCGAAAAAATTCAGGTTTACCTAGAAATGGGTCAATATTGACCCATCATCAAAAACAAATTATATTTTTATCGATTCTCTTGCCTATCTTTTTGTCAGATTCTCGAGGCACTATTTATTATTCGAAACAGTACTTATTTGCCTCTGGCATCTCTTTAGTTGGGTAACTCGCAAATCAGCCGTTTAAAGCCCTTATAATGTGAACATTATAATGTTTCATTGGTTCATCTTCAGATACGGATCGTTTCACGATGCATCTGAAAATGAACTTGAGATGATCCGACCACCGGCCTAAGATTGAATATTTCACACATTAATATTCTCTGGGATGTTTACGATAGTAAATTACAACGAGTCATCGCTGCTCAGTGATTGGTCTCTGTCCGAATAATATATCGTCTTGTGTCATTCTGATACACGTCCTTAATAATTTTTGCAAAGTGTACAAATAAACCGTTAATCACGACCAAGAGTATCGTCTCATTATCAAGAAATACAAATAAGAGTGACATCACGTGTGATATGTACATATTCGGTGGAAATTAAGTATCAAAGTTAAATATATTTCATTGAAGAGAAAGAAGATACACTGTTAGTAATGAAAGCATATTTTTAAACGTTGAAACACACTTTCACATTCAAAGTTGAAACTATGTCTTCGTTCAAAAAAATCAATGAAAACAATTGAGTGAGCGCTTTATTGGAATATTTTTCTAGATATATAGATATAAAGAGGCTCTTCTCTCTCTGCATCAATCGAAAGTAATAGTAAGTAATCGCTGATTATTCATCAAGTTTCTCCCTCCGTTGAACGAAGCGAAAGAAAAAAAAAACAAAAAAAAAGAAAGAGGCCCGAAAATTGAAATAACCTACCTCCTGTTTTTTGCGTATCAAATAGTTCTTGCCATCGTTATTGTCCCATGATTCTGTACCATCAGTGCGATATCGTACGCAAAACTCTATGACGTTTGACGCCACCGGCAATGTCAGCCGGAAGCGAAAGGTATCGTAGAGAATGAGAGCTAATGCTCCAGGCTGCTCCACGTACGTGCAATGTACGTCTTCGTGGGTAGACCAGCAGTCGCTGCTGGCCCTTACCACAACCTCCTTATCATAGGCCAGGTTCCTGACCTTCACCGTGCCTACCAGGCACTGCTCGGACTCGCGCACGATTACATTCTCCAGGCTGACGTTATCCTGATCAAGTTTGCGGCGGAAGGCGAGGTAATCGCTCGCTGGCTGTGGGAAGGTTACTTGCCAAGGCGGCGTGGTGTTCTGCATAGCGTCCTGATCTTCCTTCGACGAAGCACGAAGCAGACCGCCAGTTAGACCGGCCACATAAGCCGTGCTCCACAGTGGTGGCACATTGCTCGGCTCCGACATCACACGAACCTGCGTTCCAAAGTTGACACAATCGAGGGATTTGAAACGAAATCAACTCGCCAATAACTCGTAATAATAGTCGTTATAAAAATAGTAATAAAATACGCGTAATTATTACTTGACTGTAACTGATGCATTGAAAATTCAAAGAGAAAGGACAAACTTATTCAATCGTCTTTTTATTATGTTCCGCAGAGAAATAACATATCAATCAACCAAACTAAAAGTTGCAAGTTGTAACGTATTTTAAAAGTGATTTTCATCAAATTCAAATTAATTCAATCGATGATTTAAATTCCCCATCAATCAATCAAATGCGTTTTAAAGCAAGACGAAAAAAATAACTTTTAATAGGAACTGCGTGCGTGCATTTTGCTAAAATAGATGGAAATGATCAATTTAACGGTTTATCGGCAAATTAATTTATCGATAAATTACATAACGAAAGTTGATGTTGAAGTTAACAATTCTGCTACTTATTTGTCGATTAATTTAATCGGAGCTTGGTCAAAGTTTGGCCCTATTTTCCCATTACAATCATATTAAATCGTTAATTTATAGATTAATAAATAATTGTAGACGTTTGTAAACCAATGTAAAGTCCGTTTTCGCTAAAAGTACGGAACACATGTAATTCGCATGAAATGTCCATTAATGCTAATACGGAATAATAAAGAGAAGTGGTTTTATCAGAATATTTTATTAATTTATATTATTAAGCATAAATAATGCACAAAAAATACGACTAATTGATGTCGATATATATTGTAAGAAAAAATTCTCCCGTGGTTTCTCTCGCTCCTAACCCTGTATTACAATCGCTACAATTAGGAAATAGGGAATCCTGATGATAATTCTAATAATAGATATACCTGAGTGAGCGGGCGGCCGCGATCGTCGGCGAATACCACCCGTTTCTTCTGCTTGCTGTTATTATTATTGTTTCGTAACGCATCCAGAGTCAAAGATCCCGAAGAAAGGCATGGCCTGATTCTGGGTGGTACCGACCTGCTGGTAATCGTTGGCGCTGTGACCACCAAAGGATTGTACAGCAGAGAACTGTACACCGGAGGACTATGCCCCAGGAGCAGTTCAGCTGGCATAGCTATCGAACACATTTAGACCTACGGTAAAAGAAAGTCTCATCGTTATTATCACAGATAAGAACGAATTTGATCGAGATTTCATATTCTATATATGTTCTCGTCGTTTGACGTAAAAACCGCGAACATTTCAAAATTATACAAGCAAGTTATACAAATATTACAAGCGGAAGATTTTGTACATTCGTATAAAATCGTGTATTCAAGTAATAAGGTTGACAACAGTGGAACTTTTATTTTATTCTCTATATTTCATTCTATTCTGCATATTATATCAGGAGTATAACTAAATTCCCATTATTTTCTATAAACATCCTTTTAATGCCAAAGAAACGATACAATCATTTTAATAAAAATATCTGTCGTTTGTATCTACCGTCTAATGCTATTTTTCGGGCAGCATATCACAACGAAAAAATGTCTCGACTTTTCACACAATAAATTTGTCGACCCATTTATCAGCCACCTATTTCATTTTGAAAGTATGTATCGGACAGGTTGTGCCATATCGACTAGATGGTAATCAGCGGCTTATCAGCGAAGGGATTAATTGGAATTCTCTTTTTTGACGGTACTGTGACTGTTGTGCCGATTATTTGAACTTGCTGCAACAATTTGTCATGCAGCGCATTCAAGAGGCTTTTGAGGGTGAGAAGTTTTATTTCCAACAAGATGCAGCACCCCCACGTTACCATCGTGATGTAAGGACCTACTTTAATAAGAATCTCTCAAACAGATAGATTGGACAAAGAGGTTCAGTAAAATATCTTCCACGTTCACCGGATCTCACGCCACTAAACTTTTGGGGATATTTAAAAGGTAAAGTGTACAAAACCGGCAACAGTCAACGAATTGAGAGTAACGATTGAACGAGGATGCGCATAAACACCGAACGAAATGATATTTGATGATTTCATTGTTATCCGCAATGTCTGGACCAGAATAGTCATCAGTTTGAAAAGCGTTTGACCACAAAAAAATTACTCATTTCTCTAGATTCTTTTCAATTTTGAAAATAAACTGTACGTTAATGAACGCTGATTTTATAATCATTCAAAGTGTGTATATATTTTTTGGAACATCCTGTAAATTTTTCCTGAACTAAATATATTATTTAAATAATATGATACATATACACGTAATATCTTGGAAAAAACTCGCGTCCAAATATTATCATAATTAAATGTACAAATAAGTTCGGTGCCTTACATTTAACGTCTTGTAATTCTGGCTGAAATTAAAATTTTTTTCCCGCCCTATGGTGATTTGCCAAAAAAATGCCAACCTTAACTTTTAAAAAGCATTATAATAATTAATGGCTTTGTCGACATAACCTCAGAAAACAATAGTTATCACGATATCATCCGAAAAGGAACATCTGAGGCACTGCATTCTTTTTGTGTTCCGGTTGAATAAAAATGTTGCTACCGAAATGATTTGTTGTGCTTTGGGTGGAAAATGCTTTGACCCATAAAACTTGTGAAAAGTGATTTCAGAAATTTTTGAGTGGCAATTTCGATCTCATTGATCGAGAACGCGATGTAATGTCGGAAAAAGTTGAAGACGAAGAATTGGAGCAGCTGTTGAATGAAGATCTTTGTCAGACGCAACAAGAACTTCTTGAACAACTTAGTATAATTGAACAGGCTATTTCCGTTAAGCTTAAAGAAGCTTGGAAGAATTTCAAAGATACGAGGGTTGCTACTTATATTTTTGGCCTAATAATAAAAAAGCAAATATTTATGATCGAAATTGGTTTTATTGTTTTTCAAAATATTCTCCATGATGATCAATACACTTTTGCATGCGTTTGAGCCAATTTTCGAAGCACTTTTTCCACTCCGATTGAGGTAACTGCAAAACATGCGTTTTGAATGAATCAACCGCTTCTTCGGGTGCCGAAAATCGTTGACCACGTAATTTATTTTTGATGTGCGGGAACAAAAAAAGTCATTGGGTGCCAAATCAGGGCTGTACGGCGGATGACCCATCAATTCGATGTTTTGGCTGGTCAAAAATTCCTTTGTTTGACCCGATGTGTGAGAGCTCGCATTGTCACGATGAAGAATGATTCGCCTCTTCTTCTGCTTTTCTCGAATTTCTCCGATGACTTCTGGCAAACAAATGTGTACCATTCGTGTACCATTCAGAATTGACCGTCCTACGGTGCTCTAACGCCACTGTCGCCACGTGACCGGTAATGCCGAAGAAACAGGCAACCATTTGCTTCGATGTGCTTCTTCGGCGAACAACTTTTGTTGGATTTGACTCGCATTGGAAGAACCATACAGTCGATTGCTGTTTTGTTTCGGGCTCATATGCATAGATCCATGATTCGTTACCTGTGTAGATGTTATACACAGCCTTTGATGCACCTTGAACGTATTTTCTCAACATTTCCTTGCACCAATCAACACGTGTTTTCTTTTGAGCGTTTGTCAGATTATGCGGGATCCAACGCGAAGAAATTTTTTTTACGGACAAATATTCATGCAATATCTTATTGATGCTTGTCATACTAATGCCCAAAGATGCCTCAATCTCACGGTATGTCACATGACGATCTTGCTTTATCAGTTCACGCACAGCATCGATATTTTCTGGCACAACAACCGATTTTGGACGACCTTCACGGAATTCGTCCTGGAGCGAACGTCGGCCACGATTGAATTCGTTATACCAGTTTTTTACAGTGCTGTAGGATGGTGCTTTCTCGCTGTATAAAGAATTAAGTTCATCGATGCACTCTTGTCTTGATAATCCACGTCGAAAGTTATGAAAAATAATCTCACGAAAATGTTCACGAGTTAATTCCATTTTTTGCCCGACATGAATTTTTCAATTCACTGTAAACAACACAAACCGCGCTCAAATGACAATGTGTTCTTATGTTCTTATGTTCAACAATGTCAAGTTTCCAATGACAACGTCAGATGGCGCCTGGCAACACTTACTGCTACCAAGGCCAGAAATATAAATAGCTACCTACGTAGGTTATTGGTTTCCTCAGGTGCTCAGCCCCGAACACAAAGTAAGACGCTGTGACACGGCATAGACCTGCTGTCACGACTTAAAAGAAAGGACTTTCTGTATAAGATTCTAACTGGGGATGAAAAATGGATATTGTAGAACAATCTCAAAACATGAAAGTCGTGGGTTTAATCGTTAATATTTACCGCTAAACCGAATATTCACATGTTACTGTGTGTTTGGTGGGATTTGAAAAACATTATTTATTATGAGTTGCCCAATAAAACTTTTTTTACTTCTGAGCTTCACCAATAGCAAGTGATCAAATTACACTACAATTACAATTTTAATGCAGTGTAGAAGCTTCAGTCTGTAGGTAATTAATAATGACCTATTTGCGGGCCTCACCTTTTTATAGGTACCCATATATTAAGAGTAATCAAAAAACTTCGTTTTTTTCATTACGAACTATTTACCTTCATCTTGAAAACGATAAATATTTAGGTCTAAACTAACGTTAATATGATGGCAGAGCAGTATAATGAACGAAAATATTTTATTGATTCTCTTATTAGTCATGAAAAAAGCTTCACAGTGGCACATCTAGACTAATAATTAATTACGGATGGACAGAGAGATATGGATAGAGTGTTTTTCTCATCTAATGATTATTTTTGACATTCCTAAGGATCATATAATACAAAAAAAAATGTTTACTGGAAATCGGGAGGGGGGCCCATAAAAATGGCCTTATTGACTCTCCCTTAAATAATATTGACATTATATTAATGAGATAATGGAAATCTATACAAAAACATGATAAAAGGCACTTAACACCACAATTTAACGAAAATTTATTTAATTTTCTTTGAATAATTTTCAATTTATCTTTCAAAAATATGATGATTTATATTTCTCATTGCCCAAAGTTTCTTTGTCTCTTTTTCAAGCTAATCTGCATTCGTTCTTTCGAATATTTTAATTGCGTTACGAACACGTAAAAAAGTTTGATTGTACCTAACAATAATGAATTAAACATGTTTGAATGAACGAAGAAACAACATTTTTAGTTATACAAACGAAATTTGGATCATAACAACTAGAAATTGGATCATAACAACTAGAAATTTCGTTGTCAAGTTAATTCAACCGCTTTTTTCTCCGTGAAGAGAACACGATTTTAATTCGCCAAATGCACAAAGTTATTATATTCCGCAGTACTTCATCTTAAGCCCGATTAAATGTATGAAGCAGCTAATTGAAACTGACGACTGGCTAAAATTTTTACTTGTAATATGACGTATTTTCTATTTGCGTATATAGTCTCGCAGTTGATACATTTTTATGCGCGACAAGTAAGTATACCTGTAATCATATTACTCGTGAAATAGAATTACGAGTCTTGAATGCGGTTAAGGCGTGCGATCCTCGCGCCGTTTTTTTCATACTGAGAACCGGTTCGGACTCGAATGAAATACGTACTATACGTACCAGACCGTAACCGAACCAGTGCGCGCGTAGTTGAGAATCGGCGGACCATGAATCGGTGGACGTTTTAGGTTTTAGGTTTCAGTAAAGTTAATTCGTAAAGCATACTCACGCACATATCCGCATGAGTAGGATGAGTGTCGATTACACTACCGGATCTTGGAAAAGTCAAACATTCTCTTCAAAAATCAATAACTGATAAATAATGACGAGCAGAGATTCCCGATGTTATATAGACCTAACAAAAGAAGTAAAATTCAAGCGAATTGTAGAATTAGCATAGATTTCTACGTGTTCGTAATATCCAAATCTATATTTATGATTAATGGCCCGTGAAAATTATCCAAATAAGAGAGAATGCGTAAAAATAATTTTCAAATTCAGCATGAATCTAAGAAATATCTTCAAAAATTAACGGATGGTAATTTGCGGTTGTTCGGGTATATTTCTATACACATATTTCTATATATTTCGAAAAGCATCCGATATTTAATAAGAAAATTTAACTTCTGGGAATTACTCAAAAATAAATTCTCCTATTGAATATCAGCTGCAAGACGATA